CAGATATCAGTTATCGGTTTATTTTTGTGCAGTCGCCTAAGGAACTCCAAGATCATTTGTCGGTGAGTGTGTCCATTCTTTTATCTCTGCTCGTTTAAATTTTAATTGTGCATGAATACCAATCTTAATTGCTTTCTCATTTTCTCCGTTATTCATGTTGTTTCTGCACTCATATAGTACGGTTAAGTACGTTTGAGTGCGAGTTCTCTCTCCTGTTGCAATGTTATTCCATCTACAAAATATAAACAGAAAATAAACACATTATGGAAGTAGATCCGGAAGTAAAGTATGATCTGGATGGCGTCCGAGAGACCATTCAGATCAAGCTAGACTTTCAACACTTATGTAGATGATTTAAGCCAGGAAAACATTCAGAAACGAATATTTTCGGTGTTGATTATGTCCGTTTGGTATATTTTTCAATCGGCTATGAGGTTTCCTTACATTTCTTTGGTTAATCATAGATTCTGTTGTCCTACTTTATGCATAGCAATAAGATAAAACTATGCAAAATATTTCCGTAGTTGGTTTCCATTCCCTTTTTCTTTTTTTCTTTTTTTTGGGGGGTTTTGTTTCAAAATGACCATTTACCCTAAAATTTGGTTTATCTCTTTTTCCAGTTTACTTTACTACTTGTATGTCTGCCTCCGATATCACTCTACTTTTACCTACCGACCACTATAAATTATTTTCTGATTATATAAAGGGAAGCCTTAATTTACAGAAAAACTTCTTTTTAAAATCCCACACTTTTTTAATAGCTAAGTCAAAAGGTCACAAGGCAAGGCCTTGTCACATATAATCAGCCTGGTCAACTGGCGGTTGTCTACACGTTCTTATCGTTATGGCATAGCATAAGAAGGGGCAGATGAGGCAATGCTCGGATAAGGGAGATAGGAATGGCCAATGAATATGTGTGTGTGTGTGTGCGTGTGTTATTTCCTACATTCATCCTCCGTTTTCTCGCAGCTTCTCGGCCATATCTTAACTACTTCCTCCGTAAATGAAACGCCACCACAATAAGAAGGGAATAACTACTCCCCATAAAAACATATACTTTTAGACAGTATATTTTCTCCCTGTTTATCAGTCATCATATCTTTCCACTGTCCTTTTCTCCAGGCCTTAGAGCGTTGGAAACTTGCGGATAAACCGTAGCTTCCATAACCTTGAAATATTCAGGTGTAATTTCTCCAACCCGACCATAAACAGAACTACTGAATTTCAGGTCTTAACTGATGCCCGAAGTTCTGAAGTTCTTGCGGTTGGGAATGAATTCCCTTTTACTTTTAATAAATGTCTCATCGAAAGAGGTCATATCTGCGTACGTAAAATAACTTGTGTCTACCATGATTTCAGCACTTATTAGTGTTTCCACATGATAATACGCGGATCGCTTGCTTTATAGAAGGTAGTGTCCTTTATCTCAGAAATCTGAATTACCAACTATAGAGCACATGATATAATTTAAAACATGGAAGATGTGTTTTGCATTACAAAACTTGACTTCTGTGATGCAAGGATATAAGGATAATGAGGAGAAAGCCATTTTACAATATACAGTTTAGCTCGCGCGCGTCCGTATATGCGCACGCTGACTATAGGAAAGAAATAGAAAGAGATGCATACACGTAGTGCACTATCATCACACACACACACACACACATACATATATATATATATATATATATATATATATATATATATATATATATTTATATATAATTATTTATACATATGTATATTCATATTATATATATATATATATATATATATATATATATATATATATATATATATAATATCTATAATATATATGTATATATATAATATCTATAATATATATGTATGTATATATTTATACGTATATATACTTATCTATCTATATATATATATATATATATATATATATATATGAATACATATGTTTGTATGTATGTATATATGTATATACGTATGTATATGTATATATATCCATATATATGCATATATGTATGTATGTGTGTGTGTGTGTGTGTGTGTGTGCATACATATGATGTATATATATATATACACATATATATATACGTGTATATATACATATATATGTATACATATACATGTGTATATATACACAAACACATTCATATATATATATATATATATATATATATATATATATATATATGTATATATATGTATATATAATATACACGGACAACATAACAATGCAAATGTTGGCAGATAGGCCTATGTTGAGAATATTTGTGTGCCTGTGTACATCTTACCCCCCCCTCCCCCTTGTCTTATATCGTACTTTCCTCGATGTGTGGCATATGTGATATTTCTCATATTCATACACACTCACTCACAAACATACACATGTGTATATTTATGTGTGTATATATACTTTTATATATATATATAAATGTATATATAAATATATCAATATATATCAATTACATATATGTATATGTATATGCCTATCATATATACATCATACATATATGTGTGTGTGTATATGTGTGTGTGTGTGTGTGTGTGTGTGTGTGTGTGTGTGTGTGTGTGTGTGTGTGTGTGTGTGTGTGTGGGTGTACTACATGTATGTGTCTACACACATACACATATATATCAATCATTCCAGTCCATACGATTTATTCTGGTTGTAATTGTGCTGCAGACGTCAATCACATCTGAAGATGAGCAAGGAACATTCCAGAAAACGCTAGTACACCAGCGGATGTTTGAGAAAGGAGGTCATCCTGGTGACCGCCGACGAAAGCTCGAGTTTCCTTCCGGACAGGAGTATTGTCTGCATGTGACCTCAGCAGCGGTCTAGTCAGACCTGTGCCACACAAGCACGTGAAGCTGTAGAGTCACGAGTTGCGCAGATGTCTCGTGCGTGGTTTATATACTTGGAATGGAAAGTGTTCACTGTTCGGCCTACTTTTGCTTGATTTATGCAGCTTGCCATTTTGTGTTGTTTTCCATTGTTTTATTGTTGTGCAGAGACTGGCGACTCCTTCCCCTTAGCAACGCAGGCGACTGGTCTCGGCTTTTTGACGAGATGCCCAGGCATGACGGCATAAGTGTAGCGATAGAGTAGGGACAAAATATTTACAGCCCCTGCTCTTCCTTCACAAGCAGACAACTGCCTCCATCACGTTAATATGTATCAACGCTTTCTCATATAGGTTCTTCTCGACGCCACTTCTTGCTGACTCATACTAATTACTTTTTCTGGTTCGCGCACTACATGCCTGGAATATATAGATATATAAATTTCACCAAAGTACATGTGCAGGAGTGCCACGTGATCATCTCCTGAGGCGTTCCCTTCAGTTTCATGTTTTATATACAGCATAAAGGACATTCCCAAGTCAATATATAATATACAGTACATATATTCCAAAACAAAGGTATGTAAATACGCACACTCAAGTACACTCTGATACAAACAAATATTCACAAATGCAAACTCAAAAAGTAGAGAGAGAGAGATAGGGGCAGGGCAGACAGGCAGGCAGACAGATTAGGAGAGCGAGACAGAGAAAGAGGGGGGAGCAGATAAACAGATATACAGGCAGACGGGGAGGGGGGGGCAGGCAGACAGAGAGAAATGGGGGACAAAAAGACATACAGACAGAAGAGAGGGAGGGAAAACAGACACAGCGAGACAGAGAGAGAGGGGGTGGGGGCGGAGGGGAGAGATGGGAGGAAAACAGAGGAGGGGAGGGCTGGCTGATAAACAGACAGACAGAGCGAGACGGAGAAAGAAAGGAAGAGCGAGAGAGATGGGGGCAAACAGATAGATATACAGGAAGACAGGGCAGGCAGACAAAGAGAGAGAGATGGGGGGATCAAACTGATAGACAAACAGAGAGAGAGAGGGGGGGGTAGGCAAACAAACAGACAGAGCGAAACAGAGAAAGAAAGGAAAAACGAGAGATGAAGGCACATTTTCAAGATCTCATTGGCTGCAGGTGAGCCACGTGATCATCCCTCGAGACGTTCACGACCCAAAAAAGAAGAAAGAGAAAGGCGAGAGAGAAACTTCTCGCCGAATTCCATTTTCTTCTGGGAACGACGCATTTTTTGAAACGGTATACTTGCGTAAGTTAGTGTCGAGGAGGGGCCCTTATCGTTTACTTGTCATATAATTGGTTACCATCATAATCTGGGAACACTTTAACAATCGTTTCTGCTCTTTCCACTAGATTAACCAAAAATGATTAAATAAGGAAACAAATAAGTGATCATTCCTCTGCATGTCCTATAGATTAACAAAACACAAACAAAATAACAAAAATATTCCCTTGTATATCCCTTAGTCTAAACTTAAATAATTCAGTGATGCTGCCATTCTCCACTTCAGCTCGGAAAGGGTTTCACGTAAGCACCCATGAATTAACACAACCTGTGGTCCCATTTCCCTCACAGGGTAGAAAGCCTTAAGGTCCTTGTCCCTTGAAAGCCATTCCAGCCGTAGTTTTTCTATTAACTGCAGGTCACCGTTTTCTTTACATCAGCGGTCACTACCTGTAGCTTCCGTTCTTTGCCACCATTTTTTATTTTTTTTTTTTACCCTCATCTTTAACGTCACATTCTGCACATATGAATGCTGCTCATAACGTCTCACCTTCCTACTAGCTGCCTTACATAATAATCAAACCACGTTTTCTTAGAGCGTTTTGTCCAACGTAGCATATCGAATCTTTTTATAGTATACTATACATGCCCTCTATATCCTGCAGACAGCTTAACTGGAATCGTCATCTACATTGTATTATACAGTGCCTTTATCACTAATTACACTTTGTGTATTTCGATACAGATTTGACTTTTAACACCCTTCCTTCAGAAGTGAGCTAGCGTTTTGTAGTCCACAAATCTTACTTGTACTGTGATCATATCGCCCAAGAACTGTCCTAAAAATGAATCACATCATGATTAAGGAATAACATATCTACACTGATTACAACTCACCCTTAGATATTTATTTCCTCCTCGTTTTCATTCGACGTATCATCAATTCTTAGGCCATTTCCCGCTCCTCTTCCATATTGCGATCGACTTTCCCCTC